TCAAGGATCCGGGTATGTGGGGGGGGGGGGTTGTATACATAACACAGCCATCCCACATAATGTGGGAAACAGGACAGCACCCAAGAATACCCATTAGTACATAGCTTATTTTAAGCCATGGATGACATAAGTTACGCAGGTAGTCCAGGTTAGGGGTCATAGTTAATAAAGGAGCATAAATTAATATGTTAGTGTTAGTATGTTAGGGATTAGGAGAGGGCAAGAAGCCCAATCGTCGGGGGGGGTGCACGCCTAAAGCGCGCCTTTCGCCGCTTAGCACCCATAGCAGCTCATCAGAGGGATTAGAATTAGTAAAGGCTCCTGTTAGTATTTGGGGTGGGGGATGGGGGAAAGGTAAGCAGAGAGTCATAGGTTCCAAGGTAGAACAGAGTTACGTGTTTAAGCGACTTCGTACCTGGGCTGTCATGACTGGTGTCGCTGAAGAGTCAGTCCTCGCCATCGCACGAAGGTCGTAGCGTAGCGTGGTATCAGAAGGCTTACGGCGTAAGCGGATTGCCCAAGACACCGTAATCTGCCAGACTATTCCTATGAACCAGGATCAGTACTTGAGCAGATTTGCTCAAGTAGGGAAGATATGGATGGTGAGGCGTCATGCAACATGAAGCAGAGTGCCGGTGTTCATGGTATGATAAGTAGCAAGGAGTATAAGTAGCGAAGTTGCGTGTGCCATCTACGGTGTGGTCGTTGGTAGCGCTGTATGCCATGGGTGCTTTGCGTAGTTGGTAAATTCGTGGGGTGTTATTAAGGGGTAATTACTGGGGTAGGGAAGAGCGTAGGGTGTGTGGTTTAAACACATGGTTGGTGATTGGGGTGGGAGAGCGGGTAAGCAGGTATGCGGATAGTAAAAATCGGGATGGGAAAAAATCAGGTCAGGAAGAAGGAAGTTTTCTTATGTAATTTGTTGGCGGGGTTGGGGTTGGCGATGTATGTTATGTGAGCAGGCAAGGACATGTTGACGCTGCTTTTTTATTTATTGTCTTGTAGTGCTTGGGGTTATTTGGTGGGAGACAGGTTATGGTGATGCTGTGCCGTGTTGCACGTGTGCTTGTCCTGTAGTGACGTTCCGAGGTGGTGCGTAACCTGGAGGTATGCTCGAACTTTGAGAGGGGGAAAGAAAACGAAGCGGGGAGCTTACTAGGGGCATGCCTGTTATGAGGTTCGAATAGGTTGAAGGCCATCGTGTAGTGGGAAACTTTGCTTCGTAGGAAAAATGGGATATGTTATGGCTGTGCCGGCGTTGTTGTATCTGTATACTTCATGGATTTAATGCCATTGTATGCAGCTTGTTTCGTAGTGCATAACAGTCGGATATCTTCCGTCGTAAGTGGTTATAGAGGTATTCGCTTTTTGTCATACCTTCCTTTTCTTCCTCGTGTGTGTGTTTGTATTTTTGTGTGTCACTCGCACCGTTTCGGGATGGCCGTGTCATATGAGAAAATAAGGTTTTTKYTTTTTTTTTTTTTTTAATTCGTATTTTGTTTCTTCATTTGTTATTATTTTTCTAACTTTACATTTTTATCAATAGGAAGTTGGTGACCCATAATTGGTTTGTCTGGCATAGATTTGTGTTATACATACCAAAGTCTGATGGAGTTGTACTATGAGGCGTTGGTTAAGTTATCGGTGGATTGACTCTTAGGTTTGCAGACAGTCATTTGCTCGTACCTGTGTTTCAGGGGGGGGGGTGTTAAGGGTCTAGTAGATTGGTTATATTCTTACCTTATTATTTTTGCTATGTATATTTGTATTTAAGTAAATTTATTATTTTGGTTTTCTTATATTTAATTTTGAATTAAACTTATTAATTTTCATTATTTATTAATTTGTATTGTTTATTTACTTATTAATTTACCTATTTATTATTTGTTTTTTATTATTTATTTTTTTATTTTAATTAATTAATTATTAAAAAATAGGTTTAATTATTTTATTTATTTATTTATTATAATTTTCTTATTTTAATTTTGTATATATTTATATTTATATTTATTTATTTATTTTAATTATTTTATGTTATATTTATTTTTTTTAGTTTTTATATATATATATATATCTTATTTATTTATTATATATTTATTTATTTAAAAAAAAATATATATTTATTTTACTATTTATTTTATTTATTATTTCATTTTAATGTTTTGTTACTAATTTTCCAAATTTCTTTAATAATCTTTTTAGTTGTGTATGTGTGTGTGTGTGTGTGTGTGTGTGTGTGTCCCTCCCCGTACCCTCGTGATGGGGTCCCTTTTTGGGGTAGGTCCAAGGATGTTGGACCTACCCCAGCGGGGCAGGTCCTCCATCCGATCCAAGCCTGTTTTTAATAAGGCTGTCACACATTCACACAGACACACAGGGAATAACGATTCTATTTTTTATATAATTATTTTTAGAGTTGGTGGGTCCTGTATATTAGGTTATTACCTTGTGAGCCGTAACAGGTGATGAAGTGTAGTGATGGGGTTACATTTAGAGGGTTGATAGTTCATGTGATTGCGTAGGACCTTTGTGGCAATGCCGAGTAGTCTTTGCTTTTTTAATCCGTTTTTTATGAACATATATATTATTTGTTTAATTTCTTCAGCAGCGTGAAGTGGCTCGGATTCAATTGTCATGATTGTGATGACTTGTGGGATAAGTAGGTTGAGTGACTATTGGAGAGGTCTGTTGGATTCAGCTTGGATGTAGCGGGTGATGGGGAAATCCAGTTCCTTTCTTTTGTCGTATTTCTTTGTGGTAAAGGTTCCATTTTGCAGATTTGTGATGGTAATGGTGGTATTGAGGAAGTTGGCTTGTGTCCCGATGTTTTTGTCGTTAATCATTTCTTTCTGCGTTGTTTGCTCATTAAGGGAAATCAGGTGGAAAGGGTAGAGATAATATTTGTTGCGTTTGCTTGTAATAGCCGAGTTTAAAAATTCATGTATTCTGTGATTGTTGATGATATGGAAATCTTTAAAGTATCTGAAGACATTTTGGAAGAGATGCAAGAGATGTCTGTTGTTTTTCTGCGTAATCTTCCTCATAAAGTTGAATTCATATTTAAAAAAATATATGTTGCACCAGACAGGGGAGCAACTTACCCCCATTGGGATGCCGAGAATCTGCCTCCAGATCTTACCTCCGAGTGATGTAAATGCGTTATTAATTAGCCAGTTGTTGATTTCTTGTATTGTATTGGCATCGAGTGTGAGATATCCGTTTGGTGGGGTAGTGTACCAGTCGCATACATGTGTCCATGTGTCGTTGTGGCGGTATATCTTGCAAGCGAGTCTAATGTTATTACCATAGTTGCTTATGTCCGTTTTGAAAGCGATTTTCGAAAATGCTTGGATGACAGTCGGTAAGCCATCCTCGCAGTCATCGATTAGAATGGTCTCATAGCATCGAGTGATGTCAGCTGAGAGGACTGCCTTTGCATGCACTGGGAGGTTATATGTATAATCTGAGGTTGCGTCGATTGACCACCAGTAGGGTACTTTGATTCCAGTTTCCTCAAATGTTTTCTGGGTTAACTGTTCGCAGTGCTTTTTCACCATCTTGATTAATGCGTTTAGGATTGCCGTTGCACAGTCTGCGAGAGGGGAAGTTATGACGTCGGCTGCATTGGTTAGCCACTGAAATGAGTTCTTATGTTTTTTGTAAGTTGCGAATAGATATGGTAAGGCGAATTTTCCTACAGGTATATCTGGGAATTTTGTGTTCAGCTCTTGCTCCAAGAGTTC